AGCTCCGAATCAACACAATCAGCTATAGAGAAATAAGTCATTGAAGTTGGAATAGAGAAGTCAAAGCATCTCCATTTGTATATTGCATGTCCTCCTATATAGAAAACTTCAAGGGATCCTCTAAAAACTGTTAAAACTGAATTCAGCAAAAGTCATAGGATACAAGATTAATGCACAAAAATCATTATTTGCAGTCAATCCAAAATGAAAGTAACAAATCCATTTACATAGCACTGAAAGGAGTAAAATACTGAGGACTGAACCTAACAAAAGTGTAAAACTTGTATAATGAAAACCATAAGACATTGTTGAAATAAGATGTTAATGAATTTGTTCTACCCATGTTTGTAGGTAAGATGGCAACACGTTAAGGACTAAGATGGTTGGCTGGTAATATAGCTTAGTGATAGGACATTTGTCTACCACACCCAAGGCCAAGGTCCAGTCCCTAGTGATACACACACACATACGCACCAAACCTAAGTTGGTGGTGCACACCTGCAGTCCCAGCTACTCAAGAAGCTGAGGCAAAAGGATCACCAGTTTCAGGCCAGTCTGAAAAGTGAGAGGGGTGGGATGCAGCTCAGCACTGCCTGGGTTGCATCCCTGTACTGGGGGGCAGTATGGGCGGTGGGGGGCAATCCCCCAAACTGATTTACAGAGTCAGCATGATTCCTGTCAAAACTGCACATGACTTGTTGTTAGAAACAGGTTCTAAAATTTCTACAGATTTTCAAGGAACTCAGCTAATGCCGGGAGATAGTAATAGATGTGTTTGCGTGGCTCACCTTTGACACAGAAGCTGGCCAGTCCTGACCCCACACTACCGCCCACAACCCTTCCAAGGCTCCTGCTTCCTTCTATCCATGCTCCACCCCCACCCTGGCAAAGCACCCAGCAAGAGACTGGTGCTGGAGCCCAGGCCCCAGCAGAACCACTCCAGTTACCCAGTCCTGGCCTTGCATTGCTGCTGACTTTGCGTGGCCCGAGTCTCTGCAGAGTGACAGCGCAGGCTGTGATCCACTTCTGCGAAGAAACAAAAATGAGAACATTCAGCACAGGGGTAAATTCATCATAAAATAAATATAAAGTAGAAAAAAGGGGGAGAGCACATAAATCATTAATATCAGGAATGAAGTGGAGGCTATCACTACAGACTCTACAGACATTAAAAAGGACAGGAAGAAAATAATACTATTTGATGACAATAAGTTTGATGAATTAGATAAAGTGGAAAAATTTCTCAAAACTATAACAGATAAAATTATCAAATTAGGCCCACACATTTATTTATGGATTAATGGAGACTTACAGAAAAATTACCAATAAAGTTCTCTTTCACCTCTACCCAGGATCTGCTTTTGTCATTTATTCAGAAATGCAGTCCGACGCTGGGTGATTACTGACACATCCTAAATGTCAGTTTTCCAGTGTATAAAAGGGGAATAAGAATGGGGTTCCAGCCAGCGGGTTATCGGGGGAACTGTGAGCACGTGTGGACTGGCCCTCGGTAGCTGCTCCAGAAATGTTGGCTCCCTGCTTCCACTGTCCCTGCAGGAAGGCTTGAGTACACTGCAGAGTCCTTTAACTGAGCACCTACCTATGCCAACCGTTGTTAGGCATTTTATTACTTTGAAATCTCATAATAATTCTGATACTTTATTTCCAAATGAAGTCTTCAAAGAACAGGAGGAGAGTTGCCAGGTTACATTGGCAGCATGTAAGGGAGGGTTTTATGTTTCTTTTCTTTCTTGCTTTTTAAATTTTGAGACAGGATCTTGCCAAGTTGCCCAGGCTATGCTAACACTTGCTATCTTCCTGCCTCAGGCTCAGAGTATGGGATTGCAGGGTGCACTGCCCCCCCTGGCGATGGGCTATGTGTTCTTGACTACCCTGACCACCCCGACCCTTCCACAGGTATTTGGACTTCACTGTGGGATGACATGTGTGGGTTTCCAAGGTCTGTCTCCTGTGGCAGATATTAACTGATGTTTGGTCTTTGTGGCACGAGGAAATCTGTTTCTAGAGGCTTTGATCCTACAAAACTAGAAACGGTTTTCTTTGGGGCGACTAGTTTCTTCCGGCTGTCTGGACATCCTACTAAGCAGACTTTTCAGTGTTTACTGCAGCACCACAGTTTGATGGCGAAAGTTCCAGGTAAAAGGTGGAAATGGTATATAGTGCCTGGTGCAAGCCTGGTCTGGTGTTGGCACTCAGTAAACGTTTGTGTCATGAAGAAACTGAGCAAAGTCACTGCTGTCCTGCAGAATGACTCCCCCACCCTCTACCCTCCCTCCTCTTATCCCAGCCTTGTCTCAGGGTCCTTTATAGGTGTTTGTGAGGGCTGATGGCATTCAGGGACCCAGACAGATGCCAGGTAAAGGAGACAAAAGGAGAGAAGCAGCAAGCGAGAGAGGTGACAGCAAGCATCTCACTATGCAGTTCAGGCTGGCCCTGAACTCACTATGTAGCTCAGACTGACCTCGAACTTGTGGTGATCCTCCTGCCTCAGTCTCCCAAGTGCTGAGATTATAAGACAGCACTGTCACATTGGCCTCTGGTCTGGTTTTCAATGCAAATTTTTTATAGCAATCTTATCTTGCTTTGTATTCCTACTTTCCACTAAGAACATGAGCATTTCCAAGCAGCCATCCCAGGAGGCAGCAATCAGACCTGCCCAAAACCTTTAAAATTACTTTCTTTAGATGTGTGACCGTGATCAAATCAACCCCACAAGATGTTCTCTTGAAAACTAGAGAAGAAACAATGAAATAACTGACAAACTCATTTTATTAGGTCCAAGGTGAGTTTTTGGAGTCTGAAATATAGCGCTCCCAGCTTATTTCCAAGGGTCGTCAGCCTTGGCAGGTTCTGGCCACAGAGGATCTGCCTGGGGACTGCAGATCCAGGGCAGCTGTGGACAGAGAGAAGGGGCAGCCAGTCACATGCCGGAAGGTTAATTCAGAACAGATGCCACAGCACGAAATGGCAGTCGCCCAGAGGGCAAGGGTGACAAATGAAAATAATAAATATGAGCAACAACAACTTAATGAAAATCCCTGTTGAAATGTGGAAGCACTTGAAAAGAAGGAACTAGAAAGTCTCATGTTCCTGTCAGGAAAATCCCGGAATCCTAGGCCTGTGGATTCCACACAAGCAATGCAGCCTCCCTGGAAGTGGAAGTTCCCACAGCAGGGATTCTCGGGGCAGCGGGCTCAGGCCTGAGACCTTGGAGTGCATACCTGGGCCTGGGTGCAATTCCCAGCCTAGCTCCGGTTTCTCCCACCCCATGAAACCCTGAATCTCTTCCAGCCTGAGGACGCCATAGAAAGGCACGAGAGAAAAGGCTTCTCACACCGGACCTGTTCTGCTGCCCAGCACACAGCCACAGTGGCAGAGAGAGCTGGGCCTTCTAGAGGGACTCGAAGCGTAAACACAAGGTGGGATAAGACACAAAATAAACAAGGGCGCACTGGCTAGAATGAAACCTTTCATTTTCAGAGGAGCGTGCAGCCAGGGAGGGGGATGCTGGGCTTTTGGCATAGACAGCAAGCTCTGAAACCACAGGCTCTGCAGCCTGGCCCGGATTGGGCCACTGCTGTCCCAGCCTCTCCACCTGGACAGGGAGCAGCAGTGTTCTGACCAGGTCTCTCCTGAACATATTCAACCAGGAATGCAAATTGAGAATGCGTGGGTCCGGGGTGCTTGCCCAGTGTGCGTGAGGCCCTGGTTCCATCCCAAGGGTTAGAGTGGACATAACACATGGGCCCTGTTCTGTTTCCTGCACTGGGGGCAGGAGGGAGACCTGCAGAAGGGTTTCCCAGGTGCCCAGCCTGTGCTTTTCAGGGCACTTGTTTCAGTCTGAAAGTCTGTCATGCCCAAATTCATATATTGAAACCTCCCCCTCAAGGTGAGAGTACTGGGAAGTGGGACTTCAAGGAGATGAAGGGGTTAGAACTGGGTTCTTACAAAGAGGCCCCAGGCAGAGAGCTTGCAGCTTTCACCTGGGAAGACACAATGAGCTTCCAGTGATGAACCCGGAAAGGCATGCACCAGACACCAAACGTGCCAGCACCTTGTCCTTGGACTGCCAGCCTCTGGAACTGTGAAAAGTGACACTTCTGCTGTTTTAGGAGCCACCCAGCCTATACAGCAGCCCAAATGGACCCAGAGAGACCTCCAGCTTCCGGGGGGGCGGGCAGCATTTCTCTTTATGGGCTGTGGCCTTCCAGGTGCCCTTCCTCCTGTGCAGAGTGAGCCCTGCTAGGTGAAATGTGGATAAAGGGAAACAGGTCTGGGCTTGATCAGGCTTGGCGTGCACCAGACCGTGCAGGGCTGCCTTCTGCCGACCTCCCTCCAGTAAGAACGCGAAGCACCTTGTAGGAGTTCAGGTCTTAGGCATGCAGGTCCCCAGAACCCCTGGGCACAGGGACTTCGGACTGTGCCTGCCTGATGTTCCCAGGGGTTCTGACTCCACCAGAGCCAGGGTCTGTGACCGGGTCTGCTTCTTAAACGGCGTCTTGGTGGGAAACAGAGACAGCAGGAGCGCTGTGAGTTTTAAGGTTCCGGTCCTGGGGGCTCTTAAACCCCAGCACCATTATTTCCAACACCCTCCACTCCTCGGATGGAGAACTTAGTCATGCCAAGTTTAGGAAGCCCACCTCCGTGCCACACTGGCCCTTGGTCTCTGCGTGTGGAGGAAGATGGTGACCTCTTGGGGCTCTGACCCGGGGCTTGGACCTTCCTTCCCTCTGTCACTGTCACTGGGTGGCTTTGAGCCTCAGTATCCCTGCTTGGGAAATGAGGACAGTCGGGAGTGGCCCAGCGCAGGGTGGGCTCCGGGTCCCGGCGACGGCCCGAGGATGCCCGCGCTCGTCCTCGGCGTCACGCCCAGCCTCCTCGGGGAGCCGCGCGGCTTGGGCGCGCTCCCAGGCGCATTCTTGGTCGGGCAGCCCCTCCTCCGTCGGCCTTGGCCAAGGGGCTGGCGCCTCCCGCCTCGCGGGGACCGTCTGGGCGAGCGGCTGCGGACTCGTGGGCCGCTGGTGTCCAGGGGCTGGCGCGCCGCGCACCTGGCCCCGAGACTGCGCCTCCGCCCGCCGCGCGTGGTCCGGACGGCGCCGATCTTCGCGGGCCGCTGCGCCCCGGGACGCACGGCGGGGACCCGCGCGGCAGGAAGGGCGCACGGACTTCTTTCCCCTTCCCGAGCGAGCCGCGAGGCTGCGAGTGGCAAGATGGTGCCCAGCTCTCCGCGCGCGCTCTTCCTCCTGCTGCTGCTCCTTGCCTGCCCCGAGTCGCGGGCTTCCCAGGTCAGTGTCCCCGCCGCTGCCTCCGCCCGGTCCCCGAGCAGGGGGTCGACGCCAAGGCTGGAGTGTGCCACTTGGATGCCCGTGGGGTTCAGTGTGCCACTGGGGTTCAGTTTTTGGAGAAAGACTAAGGGTGTCCCTCTGTCACTGCCACTGCGTCTCGGGCCAGGAGCCCCCGGAGGACCGGGGTTGGTGTCGCTGCGCCAAAGCCGGTCCGCGCGCTGCGTGGGGAGAGCGCTCCGCGCGAGAATCGCCGGTAACGATTTCCCGGGATTTCTGACACTTGGTGCTTTCTCGGTCTCCGGAGAGCTCCCAGCCACCGCAGGGGATTAGAGAGTTTCTCCGCCCTCCAGCGTTTACGTTTCTTGCTGAAATTCTCTTCCTACACCGCACCTTGAACCCCCAAGCAACTTTCCTAGCAGTTTGAAGCGTTCCCACCCTGGAGGTGCTGGGCTGGCTCGCCCTGGGAGGCTTGGCAGCCTTCTGTAGAGCCAGGGCTTCACTGTCTTTCACCCACACTCGGGCAGCTTGCTGTTCAGTTTTTATCTGCTGTTTATATTTGTTGGAAGCCCTCTCGGAGTTGTTTGATCAGATTCACATTTATCTTATAAGCATTAGAAAAGGATTTTAAAAATGCAGACTGAAAATGCATCTCTGGAGGACAGACTTGGAATGGCCGAGTTCATAGCCAGCATCCACGAGACTAGTTTTGGCAGCCAGGACCGCTTCCCTCTGTGAGAGGCCTGGCTTGTGCACGGTCCCACTGGCTCACCCTGACCCATCCAGCAGCAGCAGGACAGGCACAAGCCCAGCGCCTGGCGCCTGGCACCTGAGCCCTCCATCCTTGCATCTCTGCTGGGCATCATCTAGGCGCTTGATCCTCACAGCGACCTTTTGAGGCTGGGGCTAGCATCGAATTTTGCAGAGGAGAAAGGCACAGAGGTGTCAGTTATTGGAGATCACACAGTAAAAATCCTTCTGCAGATTACAAAACAAACCCAATGTCACGAGTGCAGCAAGATGCATCCCTCAGCGCCTCCCCAGCCCAGGCAGTGCAGGGGGCAGGTGGACAGGAGCCCAGCCCTGCCACCACCTGATCTTAGCTGCTCAGCTCCTAAAGAAGGGGGCAGACAGCTGTCTCCTGAGATCACTAGAAAACAGGTGAGGTCAGGACAGTTGTGGGTTTGTTCACAGCCTCTGCAGAGGCAGGAGCCAGCTCAGCTCCCACCCCCACCCCCACTGTGTTCCCAGGAAATCGGGGTCCAATTCCTTCCTGGCCACATCCAGGCTTTCTCAAATTCCTTACCACTAAACCTTGCTTTCTCTACCTGCAGAAACACCTGCTGCGAGGGTGGGGGTGGGGTGGGGGAGAGGATGCCCATTGATGCTCAAGCCAAAGACCCAGAAAGAGTGTGCTTTTCACCCAGAGTCCTCTGGGGTTTGTGCTCTGCACTGGCTGGAACTCTTCTGCCTCACCTGGCCTCTTCTCAGCTTTCAGATCTCAGCTCAGATACGCATCCTTTGCAAAGGCTTTCCGAGCCCCCATTTCCTCTCATGGTTTCCTGAAAGGCTGTGGTGTTAGGCTGATCACTGCCTGTCCTGAGGGATCTGGTGGGTTTGGGGTTAGCTCTGTCTTCCTCACTACAGGGGCCACCACAGAGAAGGAGCTCAGAGGAGCAGCAGCACACCACAGCATGGAGGCCTCCGGGCAGACCCTGGCCACGTTCACATCGCCTGGGGGCTTTTAAAACCCTGCACCCCCAGGATTCTGATGCCATAGGTCTGGGGTGTGTCTCAGACACCAAAGCTTAAACAGTTGCCCTGGTGATTCCAACAGAGAAGACACTGAGGCCCATTTCCCCGGGGTGACTACCTGGGCACTTACACCACTGAGCTCTCTCTCCAGTCCTTGTTTGCTTATTTTTTAAAGACAGAGTTTCACTGTGTTGCCCAAGCTGGTCTTGAACTCCTGAGCTCAAGTGGTTCTCTTGCCTCAGCTTCCCAAGTAGCTGGGACTATAGGGGTGTACCCAATCACTCTGAAAGAAAAGTGCTCAGCTTGGTCACTTTTTAAATTAATGGGTTTCATTTGAGCAGATTCATACATGCAGATAACATACCTTGGTCATTTTCACCCTAACCTCCTCCTTGCCTCGCTGTCCCCCCTTTACATTTTGGGGAGGTTCACTGTATATAATAGGTTTCGCTCTGCACTGGTACCTAGAGCTTGCTCATTTTAAAATGTGTTATTTGTTTTCTTATTGTTATGTTACCAATGCTTTTTACATACTTTAAATACAAGCCCTTTTATTGCTTTTGTGAGTTATGAATATATTCTCCCGGTTTGTAATGTCTCCTCATTTGCATCTTTCATAAAGCAAAGGTTTTAAATCTTAAGGAAATCTTATTTACTAGGTTTTGACTTTTATAGAACAGGTTTTTGTTCTGTTTTGTTTTTGTCTTTTTCTTTTTTATTGGTACTAGGGATCGAATTCACGACCACACACTTGCAAGGCAGGTGCTTATGCCACTGAGCTAAATCCTCAGCCCCTAGAACAGGTTTTTGGTGATCAAGTCTAAAAACCTTTGGCTTAAACCCAGGTCATGAAATTCTACTTCTGTATTTTCTTCTAAATGTTGATAGCTTTACATTTTTACTATGATCCATTCTGAGTTCCTCTTTTTATTAAGTGAGGTTTCTGTGGAAGGTTATGTTTTCATATGGACATCCAGTTAATCCAACACTGTTTGCTGAAAAAATGCTGAATCTCCACTCAGTCATCTCAGCAACCTCGTCAAAAATCAGCTCATCACACAGGTATGGAGCTGTTTCTGCCAATAACACACTCTCTGATTACTGTTGCTTTACAAGGTGGGGAAGTAGGTTCTCTAACTTTAATATTCCTTTCCAAATTTGCTTTTGACTGTTCTAGTTTCTTTGTCTTTTCATTAAAATTTTGGAATCAGGAGCCAGGGACCTGCACAACCAGGCACAAGCACCTGCCTGACAAATACAAAATCCTGAGTTTGATTCCTGACTCAAAAAATTTTTCTGGAATCAGCGCACATAAAAGGTCCTACTGAAGTTCTGGTTGATTGGCAGGGCATTATATAGATCAATTCGGAAAGAATTGGCATCTTGAAGCGATCGAGTGTTTCAGTCAGTGATGCAGTGTGTCTTTCCATTTATTTTCATCTTAGTTGCTTTCTTCCATCAGTATTTTTACTTTTCATCGTAGATATGTTCAGTTAGATTTATATCTAATTATTTCATTTTTGGAACTATTTTAAAATTTTTTAGATATCTAGTTGTATGTATCTAGTATGTGGAAATCCAGTGGGCTTTTCTGGGTTGACCTTGTATTCTGTAACCTGGTGGAGCTTGCTTATTATTTTTCGTAGGGGAGGAGGCTTCCTCCTGTCTGTGAACAGGGGGTTTATTCCTCCCACTCTATCTGTCATTCGTGTATTTGGCCTTGTTACACAGATTAAAACTTGTGGCCCTGCCCCATTGGTGAGAGGACACCATTGTTTTATTCAGATGGCACCGGTTTCCGGCCCTGAGTGTGATTTGGTTTGTAGGGGCTTTTGTAGGTGCCAGTTTTGTGGTTCAAGTTTTCTTCTCACCCTAGTTTGACCAAGTACTGTGAGTGGGTGTTGAAGTTTGTTACCTTCCCTACCTCAATTCATAGGATCCTGTAGCTTGTCTTCAGTCTGCTGATGCAATCAACTTTCTAGTTTCTGGAAGAGATTGTGTAAAAACTGGTGTCCATTCTTGAAATGTTTGGTAGAATTTACCAATGAAACTGAAAAGGCCAGAGATTCCTTTTCCAGAAGACTTTAACTAGGAAATCTTTGCTTGGATAGACCCAGAACTGTTTGGATTAGTTTTGATTTCCTTCCTGGGTGTGGGTTTTGGTAGTTTACAATAGTGTCTCTGTCTCTCTCTCTGTCCCTCTGTCTCTCTGTCTCTGTTTCTGTCTCTGTCTCTCTCTCTCTCTCTCGTCTTACTCTGTAATTCAGACTGGCCTTAAGCTCACTATGTAGTGGCCCTTAGACTCACGGCAATCCTTCTGCCTCAGCCTCCTGATGCTAGAATTACAGGTGTGTGCCATCACACCCAGCCCAGCCCCTCTCTCTTGAGGCAGCCACTTCATATTCCAGACTGCGGCACAACAAGTGACACCTTATTCAGTGGCTCCTGTAGAGCCGTGTGGTCCAGTGGATTGACTCCTGTCCTGTGTAACTTTTTGGGGTTTCCTGAAGTTTTTCCTTTCGCCCCATCTGTTACTTTTGTAAGCACAGTTGTTTCCAAAAACTCTTCCTAGCACAGGTCGTGCTCGGGTGGCTTTCCTGGGGCTGGGACCCCCAGGGTCTGCTCTTGGTTCTGCCTTCTGACCCTCTCTGGGTTGGTGGCCCTGTGCCTACCACGATTTAGAGAAAGAGAACCGATGCCTGTGTGTCTGAGTTGGGGCCACATTCTCTCTCTCTCTGAGTTCTCTATCAACCCTTTTTTATATTATACTTTGAGACAGCATCTCACTAAATTATCCAGACAGGAATCGAACTTGCGACCCTTCTGCCTCTGCTTCCCCAGTGCTGGGATGACAGGTGTGCGCCACCTCACCTGGCCATGAAGGTAATTTTTTTTTTTTTCCCGGTACTGGGGATCGAACTCATGACCGCCTGCTTGCAGAGCAGGTGCTTATGCCGCTAAGCTAAATCCCCAGCCCCGATGAAGGTCATTTTTAATCCACTTGTGAAGCTGCTCTGACCTCCCTCCTCCTCGACATTACCCATCTCCCACACTGCACCTTCAGAATTATTGGTGGCACAGTTGTGCCATGTTGTAAGTGGGGTCCTCGGTGGCCAAGAAAGTGGCAGCTGAGCCCCCCTGCTGGAGCAGGGCCTGGGGGACAGAGGAGGAAAGGTCCTCGCCTGCTCTCCCCGCTGGCCACGGTCCTCCAGGGAAACCAGCGCCCTGGCTAGCAGCGGGTCCTGAGC